ATATTTGAAAAGAATGTAAAGATAATCGTCAGTTATTCATATTTTCAAGAATGTCGTATATTTTAGCTTATGCATTAATTATAAAAAAAGGTATAATTTTTAAGATTAGAGAAGAATTTTTTTTCTACTTATAATATACATAAATATCAGCCATACTGCATAAAAAAAAAAATTTTAAAAACTTTAAGCTTACATGAGACCTATTAATAATATACCATATAATGACGTTAATTATGATATCCACACTATCAATTTTTGATTTAAAATTTTGAAACCAAAAAATTTTTATTCTACAGTAAAAATCAAACAAACTATTTTGATATACTAATCATAATATTTGACCAAAAATTAAATAACAGAGACCATTTTGGTGGTGGAGGGGGGGGGTATTTTTGGTCAAAATACTAAAAACACGTTGAGCCACCAGTAAAATTTTTTTTAAAAATTTCAAAATTCTACAAAATACCTATTTTAATGTATAAAATAAATTTAAAATAGTTTTCATTAAAATTTCGAAGATCGACTTTTTTGATCCACCCTAATGTGTATATTTAAAAAAGGAGCACAAAAATTACCACATAAGTGGTTATAATTTTACAGAACAGTTTTCAGCTTATTAATAATATCCATGTTAAAATGAAACTAATTTAAATTATTACACATATTTGACCTTTGGTAAAGAGTGTTGGTAAGTACAAAGTTATATTTATAATATTTTACATGAAAAAATAAATGCAATATCAATATATCATATATTAGTTAAGCTTGTGAAGAAATCAAATTACTTTATTTTTCAAAATCTTTTGTAGGACTACTTGCCATATGAAGTTTATTTTCAATTATACAAAATATTTACATAACTGCTCTGAATTCCAAATTAAATCGAACTAAAGCATAATATTTTGTTGTTAAACAATTCTTATTCTGAAAATTACTATAATTTTGCTTTAGATGTAAATTACAATTACGAGTATAATAAAATGATTATTAGCATTAAATGTTGACAGTCTATTTTTGACACATCAATTAATAAAGCTATTTAATAATATTGTATCATATAACGATCGTCTTAAGTTTTAACAACACAATATAATTTAAAATCATTAGCAAATATTAAATATTTACTGTGTTTAAATAAAACAATCAATTATTCACAAATATTAAAAATAAAACTGGAGTAAATTACTCACTTGAGGTATACCGAAGCTAACAGTAATAGTCGGATATTTAATTACACATTTTGACCAATTGTGTTCAATTTTAACATTTTACCACATACTGCTACCAGTAAGTATAATCAAGTAATCAGAATTGTATAAAGTTTATCAAACAATATTTTCCTTTACAATAATTTTTTCAAACAACTTATGAAGAGAAGAAAAGTTATATACAAGTCTATAACTTAAAATTAATGAACATTAAAAAGGGCTTTAATTGATTTTGTAAAAATTCAATATACTTAATACAACAAATTTTAGTCGTGCATTTGTATTTTTAGCTTTTAAATTAAATTTATTAATAATTTATAATAATCACTTCAACAATTTAATAATTTAAAATTTTTATGCGTTACATTTTTTAAATCATATTTCAGTTAAAACATAAGTTTAGCACTAAACCATGATGACAATTTTTTTTCTGATACAATTCTGAGGTATGTTTCTTAGAATTACATTTCTCAAAACTTTGTAGTATTCAATAACGGCTGTATTAATGCATTCGTCAAAAAATTGTTTATCCCAATCTATTAAATTTTAATCTCTTAATATTTAACATTATTCATTTGAAAATGAATAGAATAACTATCTAATGGTACCTCAAAACTAAAAATTTAGTTCTGTAACTCAAGCGATGCGTTTATCTAGATAAATGTGAAAACAAAGTAATTATTATATAAATAATTTTGACATTTTCGAAAGCTAACATGCTCTTGTGGTTGTTTTACTTAAAAGCTAATTTGTAGGTCTTCAAAAATTAAATAGATTCTATTTAACTCTCAGTAAAAAAAAAAATATATATCAAATATAGATAATAATGATAATAACATAACTCTTTAGGAAAATTACTACATTATTTTAACTTGTTACAGATCTCTTGTTGAAGAAAATAATACAATATAATAAGACAAAAATTAATCATTTTAAGGGTTTGTATATAAGCAAACCAACACAATATCAAAAGACGTCATGACGATGTGACCTTGGATTAATTATAAAGTATTTAATTTGTTATTAGATTAAAACAAAACAATGTCAACTACATATTTTTACTTATTAAGAATCTACCTTCTAGTTCTAAGTAAACTTAATGTGATTTTCAACACTACAAGATCGAAATGAAAATTTAATTATATTCTCCTGAAAAGTATTAAATTAGTTGATACGCTTCATTAATCCTAAACGCTCGTATTAAGCTTTATATTAAAAATACTAAATTTAGCAATATAAACAATATTCAAGTATTTTATTATAAAGTAAAATTCTACCATATTTTTTCCCCTATTTCACCAAAAATAAATGTTTATAATTTCTATTTCCTACCGCTTTAAGTTATTCTTTATAGTCTAAAAATATTTTTTTGAAGCCTAACCATTTTATTTTTTGCTTTATAGATTTATTGCATATACAAAATGTTCAATAAGTAAGGAAACAGGTTGATTGTTACAAACAGTGAAAGCAATTGAAGCAGTGAAAACCCGTTTCCTTACTTACTGAACACTATTTACCTATAATTGTATATATTATACTAACCAAAAAAAAAAATTTTTGTTTTTCCAAAAATCAATAGTATATATTAAAAACATTTAATCTCTCATATAATTAAATTTTTCATATAATATGACATTTTTCTGATAGTGATAGATTTTTTTTCGATCAAATTTATTAAGTATGTGTTTTATTGTAAAAAATTTCAGCCTATTTTCCTATAACCTAGTTTCTATGAGATTAAAAGTTTTCATGTTATTACTTTTCCTGTTTAAAATTATTCATGTAAATTAGTTTAACAGAAATTCTGAGTAAAAATTTGATAAATAGTATTTATTAATAATATTTATAGATAATGGGCCTCAACACGTGTTTCTTCAGTGAGGTTCTATAGGCTGACATTTAGTTTTAGTGCAATTATACGATGCCCAATAAAATATGAAAAATATAAGAAATGACTAATTTTATAAAAGCTTCATTCTCCCCGAAAATATTACTATTAGTAAATTACTCCATAGTCAACAAGCGACAAACGATCTATAGCTATTTAATTATATTTCTTGGTGAGGTACCCAGCAGAGGAGTTAAATTTATGATTTCTGAATTGACTAGTCATGAATGATGAAGGCCAAATTATCACTTTTTAAAAATATTAATGTTTCAAAAACAATTTCACTTTGATACTAGAAAAACAAGAAGTTTAGAAGAATTCTGTATTTTTACTATAATACTTTATGTTAATATTTGGTTCTCGTAATCACAATAAATGATTCAGCGATTAACAGTTAAAAGACTTAAAAATCATGATAATTTTGATACTGCAAAAGCTACTGTCAATAAGATGTTTGATAATTAGTGACATTTATCAAATTAGTCAGTAGAATTATGTTTATTTGACAAAAATGTCATCTAGAAAATAAAATGTAAAATTATGAGTAATATGAGTAATAAATCGACTGCTAAAACTTGTACGGTAAGACCATAAGTAAATTGAAATAATATCCAAAATTTACAACTTTACGATCTAACTAATAAAATACCATTAACATTTTTAGTGTAAAAAAATTTTGAAAATCTAATGATTGAAAATATTCACATTCTTTAAAAGCTAGAGATATATTTAAAGATTTCCTTATTACACACGATGTAGCTGATATAGATGTTGTATAGATTTAAGAACAAAATAACTCGTAGTGAAGATCAACTACCAGTATAGTTCTTAATACAAGTAGTTTCAAAACATTGCAAAGCATAACCAAACTGCAATAGAGATACATTAAGAAAAAAAATTGAACAATTATTTAATATTACATACATAATTTTTAATTATGATTAACTTTCAAGTTGATTTGTATTTTTTATTTGAAATTTTATGACAAATTATTTGTGCTTAAAAAATTTGAATTTTTTATTAAATAAATTTTTAATTTAAATCGGGTTGGGATGATTAAAAAATATTAACTTTTTTGTTATAAAACATAACATAAAATGGTAGCAACATTATTAAAATAAAATTTTTTTTTTTATTTGTTTTAGTTCATTCTAATAAACATAGTATTTAAAAGATCTTTAGATAATGAGCATGAAATTAAAGCACATGATACATTAGGTATTGTTTATGTCATTGTTTTGACAAAAAAAAAAAAGGAAATGTTCATACTGTTAATTGATAATAATATTTTATACAAGTTTAAATTAAATAAGATTTTTTGGAATCAAATTAGCTTTTTCTTCCACACATATGATATGAATTTATTTATTTTTAATAACGCTAATTCGTTAATGTGTAAGTACTCTGCCGCATAACCAAAAGTCTACTGTCCCTAGTAGCTTTGAGCATTGGAAAATCTTATTTACTGTCCATAAGGAAAGTGATATCGTAGGCATATAGTAAGTTTGAAAGCTTACCAATATTCGTTACTGATAAATAGTAAATGCACTTTGCATTTACTCGTATAATTTTATATTTATTAAGATTTTAACTTTCTATTTAAATTATAATAAACATACCTATAGTTGTTTTATTTATAATATAATAATCGATTTACAAATTTTTTTAATGAACTGGAAGATTATGTATAATTTTTACTAATACAAACGTCTCAAGGTAAACAACAGCTGAAAAATTCCCTACTCACTAATTTATTACTTGTCATACAATCAATAAATTCCTTTTTTTTTCATTTACATTTTTAGGATTTGACATCAGTTGATGCCTAAAGCGACACAAATGTTATATATAGTACTTAAATTTTGAGGGAATTCTTAAATTAATTTAGTTATTTAGCAGTTAGACATTTGGAAGCTAAAATGGTAAGTAGTTATAATTTATTAAAATTTCATGTACACAAGGGAATTATCAAATAGGATTTTAGAATCCTAAAATTTTCTATAACATGTAGGTAAAACTTAAATTTAATATATGCTATTACTTACTATCTAAAATCATTGTAAAATAATACTTAGTTGTATTATAATCTAATTGTAGGAATAAAATTTTAACGAAAATAAAAGCTATAAAAATAAAGTTATTTTGATAGCTATTGCCAAAAGTTTATTTTTGCCTTTTATGAGCTATGTAGTAGCTATGTAATTGAAAAATATGTAAATGTTTATCCGTGTTAATTTTTCTTTTCTATACGTTGATTTCTTGTCAATTTATTCTAGGTAACAATTAGGGATTTTTGATGGGTTGATAATAATTTTTTTAGGTAGTAATAAGTACTTTAATAAGTACTTATTAAGTTAAAAACATTTTAATACATCGAGTGGATATATAGCATGGGTGAAGTATTCGTTATAAATATGCACCCGTACGAGCTATACCCACCCTACATTCTCACTCCATTATTAAAATATTTGTAACTCAATAAGTACTAAAGTTGTTTTCGACCCATCATATTTTATTGTAAAAAAAATGCTTTTAAGATAGTCTAAGAATTTGAAAGTTGTTTAAAAAAATTTTAAACTAAATTTTAATTAAACCCTAGGTTTTAAAATTTGTTAGTTAGATTTGTTTTATTCTATACATGTTACGGATATAGTAGATAAACGGTCATTGTATGCAATGACCAAAACAAAATATGTCAAGAATTTTATTTCTATTTAAATAATAAATAACTTAATTTATTGTAATATTTTTGAAAGGTCATTATTAGAGTCGCATTAAAAAATTGTACTTAACTTTCCAATCTCTAAACACATAACTTTTTGAATCACATTTTTATGTATATGAAAACTCAGTATTGGGTTTATTATTAACCCATACTAACTTCTGTACATGAACAATAAGTTTATTTCGATTAAAACATGAAAATTTAATGTTTACACTACATAATTTAGTTTTGATATTATATAGAGTGTAATATTTTATTACATAGAGTGGGTATGAAAAGCGTATGGAAATCATTTACTCTAGTACGAGCTGTGACCATCGCCGCAACATACCCACTCTATGTATTAAAATGGCTGTGGCTCAATAAGTATTTAACTTATAATTGTTCATTAAACTGTTTTGTAAAAAGACCTCTAAAACATTGGCTATCTTAAAATTTTGAAAAAAATAACGTATCTAATTATAACATATTCCAGAAACGAGAAAATTGTAAATATATATATTTATATTACAGCGAAATTTAATTGTATAAAAAGCCATAAGAGTTGTCAGTAAGATCTGTTGCACTTTGTGTATTATATTAAATGTTTAATATTATTATAAATTTTAAATCCAGAAATTTGTTCTATGAGAAACTCAACGCTTTTGTGCAATTTGAAATAAAAATTTTTTGGTCACATTTTCAGAATATTGCTATAAGAGAAGTTGATAAGTAAAAAAAAAAAAAATTATTTTAATTCAGTACTATAGAAAACATGGTAAAAAATTTTGAAAAAAATTATAATTATATTGTCAGAGACAACTGGAGAGGGTGTTAGGAGGTGCCATTGCACCCCTGTACATTTTTTTTCTAGTAAAAACTTAAATACACATTAGTTATGTGTTATTTATGAACTTCAAGGGAGGGATCACGTCTTTTTTTAGCTCGTGGGATATGTCCATTTACCTCTATTGCTTAAAATATTGTCATTAATATATGCGACTTCTGATAAACAGGAGGTGCAAACATTATTTCTGCAGACGCCTCTGATTACTATGGTACTTATAGTATTTAAATACGATTTAGGTGACGATTAATTTTAGTATAAATAGTAATTAATTATAAATTTCATATAAACTTTTTTTGTATTGTTTATACGTAGAAGTTACCTAAACTATTTGCCTCAACAGTGTTATAATTGCATAAATAAATACAATTTGATATTAAAGTAGCAGTGCATTATAATAATTAAAAAAACTTTTCTTTATTTCAGTTACCCAAAGTAATTTGGGCACTAACAATTTTTGTTTTATGGGAATATGTTCTCACATTATCACTAAGCAACGATAACATTAAAAGTGATGACATTCTCAAAATCAACCAATCTACTAAAAAGAAATCAAACAATAAACAACCGACAAAAAGATTAATAAGAAAGTGTGATAGTATTCATTATGGAAGCCAAAAAACTAATTTAGAGTTGAAAAATATTGAAAATCAGTTTGTACTGACACCAAGTTTTAAAAGTGAAAAAATTACCGATCAATATATATTTGGACAACGTATAAGAAAAATTGAAAATATTAAAACACCTTGTGAAGATAACTCTGAGTTTACATCACATAGTCAAAATATTGAAACAAAAGACTTAATAAAACCATTAATAATCAAAAAAGAAAATATACCAAACTTTAATACATATAATCAAGATTCATTTCTACCAGAAAAAACATTTTTCAGACCTGTTTTCGTAAAACCTAAACCAATTATAGTTGAATTTACAAATAAACCAAAACCAAAACCAACACAGACATCAATTAAACAACCCATAAAAGAAGAAAATGAATTAACCTCAAAACCTCAAAAGCCACAACTAATATACGAGAAACCTCAAATTCCATGTGAAGAAGAAAAAGAAACTTATCATCCACCATCTAATTCTGGATGGGGCAATCAAATAAACCAACCATCTGTTCCATCATTGCCAGAACAAGAAAATATAAAACCATCACCAGAAGTACCTTGTGAAGAAGAAGTACAAGCATCCTCTCCAGCTCCACCACCACCACCACCACCTGGTCCTGTTCACACTATTCCTAATCAGCCAGCCAGTATATCATGGGGAGGAATATCAAATCCATCTAGTGTTTCATGGGGTCATCACTTGAATTTACCTTCTGGTCCATTAATAAGTCCATTCAAGCCACCTAGTATTTCTTGGGGTGGCCAGATAAACCAACCATCTGTTCCATCTTTGCCAGAACAAGAAAATATAAAACCATCACCAGAAGTACCTTGTGAAGAAGAAGTACAAGCATCCTCTCCAGCTCCACCACCACCACCACCACCACCCGGTCCTATTCAAACTATTCCTAATCAGTCAGGCAGTATATCATGGGGAGAAATTTCAAGTTCACCCGGCATACTTTGGGGTGGACAAATAAATCAACCATCTGTTCCATCATTGCCAGAACAAGAAAATATAAAACCATCACCAGAAGGACCTTGTGAAGAAGTACAAGCATCCTATCCAGCTCCATCACCACCACCACCACCACCCGGTCCTATTCAAACTATTCCTAATCAGTCAGGCAGTATATCATGGGGAGGAATATCAAATCCATCTAGTGTTTCATGGGGTCATCACTTGAATTTACCTTCTGGTCCATTAATAAGTCCATTCAAGCCACCTAGTATTTCTTGGGGTGGCCAGATAAACCAACCATCTGTTCCATCTTTGCCAGAACAAGAAAATATAAAACCATCACCAGAAGTACCTTGTGAAGAAGAAGTACAAGCATCCTCTCCAGCTCCACCACCACCACCACCACCTGGTCCTGTTCACACTATTCCTAATCAGCCAGCCAGTATATCATGGGGAGGAATATCAAATCCATCTAGTGTTTCATGGGGTCATCACTTGAATTTACCTTCTGGTCCATTAATAAGTCCATTCAAGCCACCTAGTATTTCTTGGGGTGGCCAGATAAACCAACCATCTGTTCCATCTTTGCCAGAACAAGAAAATATAAAACCATCACCAGAAGTACCTTGTGAAGAAGAAGTACAAGCATCCTCTCCAGCTCCACCACCACCACCACCACCTGGTCCTGTTCACACTATTCCTAATCAGCCAGCCAGTATATCATGGGGAGGAATATCAAATCCATCTAGTGTTTCATGGGGTCATCACTTGAATTTACCTTCTGGTCCATTAATAAGTCCATTCAAGCCACCTAGTATTTCTTGGGGTGGCCAGATAAACCAACCATCTGTTCCATCTTTGCCAGAACAAGAAAATATAAAACCATCACCAGAAGTACCTTGTGAAGAAGAAGTACAAGCATCCTCTCCAGCTCCACCACCACCACCACCACCTGGTCCTGTTCACACTATTCCTAATCAGCCAGCCAGTATATCATGGGGAGGAATATCAAATCCATCTAGTGTTTCATGGGGTCATCACTTGAATTTACCTTCTGGTCCATTAATAAGTCCATTCAAGCCACCTAGTATTTCTTGGGGTGGCCAGATAAACCAACCATCTGTTCCATCTTTGCCAGAACAAGAAAATATAAAACCATCACCAGAAGTACCTTGTGAAGAAGAAGTACAAGCATCCTCTCCAGCTCCACCACCACCACCACCACCTGGTCCTGTTCACACTATTCCTAATCAGCCAGCCAGTATATCATGGGGAGGAATATCAAATCCATCTAGTGTTTCATGGGGTCATCACTTGAATTTACCTTCTGGTCCATTAATAAGTCCATTCAAGCCACCTAGTATTTCTTGGGGTGGCCAGATAAACCAACCATCTGTTCCATCTTTGCCAGAACAAGAAAATATAAAACCATCACCAGAAGTACCTTGTGAAGAAGAAGTACAAGCATCCTCTCCAGCTCCACCACCACCACCACCACCTGGTCCTGTTCACACTATTCCTAATCAGCCAGCCAATATATCATGGGGAGGAATATCAAATCCATCTAGTGTTTCATGGGGTCATCACTTGAATTTACCTTCTGGTCCATTAATAAGTCCATTCAAGCCACCTAGTATTTCTTGGGGTGGCCAGATAAACCAACCATCTGTTCCATCTTTGCCAGAACAAGAAAATATAAAACCATCACCAGAAGTACCTTGTGAAGAAGAAGTACAAGCATCCTCTCCAGCTCCACCACCACCACCACCACCTGGTCCTGTTCACACTATTCCTAATCAGCCAGCCAGTATATCATGGGGAGGAATATCAAATCCATCTAGTGTTTCATGGGGTCATCACTTGAATTTACCTTCTGGTCCATTAATAAGTCCATTCAAGCCACCTAGTATTTCTTGGGGTGGCCAGATAAACCAACCATCTGTACCATCATTGCCAGAACAAGAAAATATAAAACCATCACCAGAAGTACCTTGTGAAGAAGAAGTACAAGCATCCTCTCCAGCTCCACCACCACCACCACCACCTGGTCCTGTTCACACTATTCCTAATCAGCCAGCCAGTATATCATGGGGAGGAATATCAAATCCATCTAGTGTTTCATGGGGTCATCACTTGAATTTACCTTCTGGTCCATTAATAAGTCCATTCAAGCCACCTAGTATTTCTTGGGGTGGCCAGATAAACCAACCATCTGTACCATCATTGCCAGAACAAGAAAATATAAAACCATCACCAGAAGTACCTTGTGAAGAAGAAGTACAAGCATCCTATCCAGCTCCATCACCTGGTCCTGTTCACACTATTCCTAATCAGCCAGCCAGTATATCATGGGGAGGAATATCAAATCCATCTAGTGTTTCATGGGGTCATCACTTGAATTTACCTTCTGGTCCATTAATAAGTCCATTCAAGCCACCTAGTATTTCTTGGGGTGGCCAGATAAACCAACCATCTGTTCCATCTTT